ATAATATATTATATATATTATATAATTATATATACTTATATATACGTGTGTATTATATTTTATTAATTATTTTTGTTGTTCTCTGTCTCTCTCTCTCTCTCTTTTCTATAGATATTGAGAGATATAAGACACGGATTGATGCAGTTAGGACGAGATGGACGAGGTCAGGTTACAGGAGGTAAGTGGAAGACAGGATCATTGATGAATTTCAATATTGAATTTAGATATTGAAAACCGATCGAATCTACATTATTTAGATGACACCTACATGTACGATGAAGATGCCAGATGTGGAGGTACCGGTGGTATGGGTGGTGGTTTAGGAGGTCAACATTGGTACGATGAACCACCATACGAATCGGACCCGGAAGATTTTCTTATGGGAGCAAGTGGTGGTCCCGTGCCTACGGCTACCATTCAAAATGGAAGGTAAATATTCGCGTATATGTATGTATGTGTGTATGCATATAATATATTTACATAAACGCTTAACAGCTTTGAACTCGAGTATATTTTGGTCTTATTCCATTGGGATATTCTTGGTTTGTGAAGTATACTTTAAAGTATCTTCTAAATAGAGAAACCAACACGAACTAAAGGAACTTATCCCTTAGGGATTTCAACACAATTTTGTAGATAAAAGAACAAAATTTTTTCCTCGAATTACACATATTGGACACAACATTCTCCATCATAATTCTATTAAACAATTATAAATCTATTTGTCTACTATATATCATTTCAATCTTAACTAAACCCAAATAATTATCCCTATTTGCATACGCGTTCATATAATTTACATAAATTATTATCTCAAAATACTCGACATAATTTCATTTCTACTAAGTTATCACGTAGGTATAAAATTTACTCGTGAAAATGATTAAAATATAGAATAATCACGCGTGCACAAAAATGTTTGTATATATTATTTATATATTTATTTTAATAATTCTAATATTTTCTCTCCCAAATCTTTTCCCCTTCTTCAAGAAAATTCTAATTAAATTATTCATTAATTAAATCATTATCACATATATATATATATAGTAGGTCAACAAGTGTGTTAACAATTTCAAATTATAATGTAATTATAACAATCTAATTACAGAGTATGCTTTACGTTAAATCCAAGACCGGAAAATAGAGGAGAAGGAGTGATCTCCTTGAGAACAGCCGGAGACATAAGTCTACCACGTGAACGTTCAAAAGGTACAGCTTCGACGATGCGAGGATTGATCGTACCTCAAGGCCATAACAATCCACCTACGATCATACCTTTAACACACTCAAGGGCTTCACGAGAGAGTGGAGATTATGCGAGCAGTGACGTTCAAGTAAGTTCATAATAATACAATATACAAAATATATCTCTATAATTTACGAACATAGAAATAATTCAACTTCAAACGAACGATAGGATGCATAATCGTATTGAATATATGATTTATACTATTTTAATATAATATAGAAACATTAAATATATCCATTTAATTACTATACTACCACATACATAATATATATATATATATATATATATATATATAGAATAAAAGAATAATACGAATGGAATATAACTTTTTGTCAAACTTTAGTTATTTATTTTAACACACAACACATACACCATAGATGACTCTAGAGATGAAATTGGAAGGACTTATGAACAAATACCGAGTAGACTGATTAATTAACATAACACATACATACATATTCGTATAATATTTTAGTTATTCTCTATCGTCATTTCCTCTCCCGTTTTGCTTACGCTCCATTCCTTGCTAAACATACAACAGGCACCATCACCACTACCATCACCACCATATCACTACTACCAACAAACCCACACGGATATATACGACTCAGAGAAGACATTTCCCACAGGTATACGTCACGCGAGATGATTCATTTAACTCGGACGTGTTGAGTGCGAGCCTCGAGACGATCGAACGAGTCCGACTCTATAGTAGTCGTCGTAGTAGTAGTAATAGTATTATAGTAATAGTAGTCGTAGTAGTATAATAGTTCATAGTATGCGAGAGAGAAAGAGAGAGAGAGAGTAAGAGTAAGACAGGAATACAAGAGAAGATTGGCTTCCGGTGCTTGGTCAGCACCTAGAATGATGTGTCCGGCTCACAAACACCATGCTTTCCGATTTCCTTCGACGTTTACACTAATCGTCTCTCCTACTATAATTACGTTTCATACTATACAGCATGATCTATCTCTTTCTCTCTTTATCTATCTATCTATCTAGCTATCCTTTTCTTTGTCTATCTATCTTTCTCTAAACCACATATCCCATCGTTAACATTGACCATTACTAATTATTTAACATGCCATAATTCTGCGATTAAACTTGCAGGTTTGATATTATTACTCACATCAAATCATTTCTAATGATACGTCCACGTATGTGGGATCATATTCGATATCAGATTATTCGATATAGAGAACATTCATACATTCTACGTTAACTAACCACCATTGTCTCTAATTATTAATTATACTTAATGATAATTAATTAGAGAGTTTAGATAGGAATAATTTTTCATTGATTTTTTATCTATCGTCTCGTTCCTCCCGTTAGAAAAAAGAAAGTTATCTTTGTTGTTTAACAATTCTTTCGATTATAATAATTATCTTATAATATTCATTTGAATATTATTCACAATTATAAAAATAATGCAAATTACTATATCCTATCGATTATTTCTAATCGATATAATGAAATTACGTTTCTATTCTTTCTTTCTTTCTCTCTCTCTCTCTCTCTCTTTCCCCGTCATGAATAATTTTCTTACGAAATTAATATTATTATTATTCACACAATAATTATTCGTAACACGAAAAGATTCGTAGTTTCATTGATTCGTAGAAATAATTTCAAATGTGAATCAACTTTCAATGTATATACTATGCACGTATATACGAAATAAATATATATATATATATATATTTGATTATCAGGAAAAAATTCGTATCGATTTATAAATAAAAAAATATTTAACCTTTTGCATTCCCCCCAAACAATTCCATTATACAATGGTAGTCAACCAATGCCTGGACAATAAACCTGGCCTCAGGCATTCAAAAGGATTATTACACACATTTTTATAAAATAAATATTATATATTTTATTAATCAATAAAAAAAAAAATATATCATATATATATATATTGATATATTATATATTTAAGTAAAA